GTCTCCTGATCGTCCACTGTTCCTCCCCCACGGAGTCCTCTGGGTTTTTGGCTCATTATGGGGGGAGGTTCAGTTTTTATCAAAGTAAGCCTGGCTCCAGGGAGGAGACCAGTTTAAAGTCCAGCTTCAAGTTCCGGTTCCTATGTCTTGTCTCGGCTACCCTCTTCCACTGTGCCTGCCTGTCTGCAACTGATCCTGTCTGCTCCTGTGCGTGACCACCTGGTCATGCTTCTGGTCCCAGTCTGACTCTGAACCCTCCTGGAAGCCTGTGCATGTCTGGAAGTCTGGATCCTGCCACCTGTCTCTGTTCCTGCCTGATCTGGATCCTGCCTGTTTCTGTCTGTTCCTGTCTGTTCTGGATCCCTCACCAGGATCAGCTTCCAGCATGACCTCTGGGACTGCAGCACTGGGGACACTCGTGGTCTGGACTGTTAAACCAGAGTGTCTGAGATTGGGCGGTGCCCCGCCCCCTGCCTGCAGTGTCCGCGAGCCACAGCTCCACTTTTGTTTTGTTTTTATTTTAATAAACCTTTTGAACTTTCCTACTGACTGTCTCTCCTGAATACTGGGTCCATCTGTCCCCGATTCATGACAGTAACATGTATTTCACATATGCCTAACCTGACGTATTTAATTGGTAAAACAAAGTTTATTCTATTCCCCAAACCGAAAAATACGTTTTAAAAAATGGAAAAAATGGACAGACATGCCTTTGATGACCTGAACACAGCAGCCACCAATGGGAGCTACCAGTTGTTTGTCAATACAGTATAACAGATGCCAGTTTTAGAAGCTTTAGAAGTTTATTAGAATTGAATTTCCACTGTTGAATGGGATTAAAAAGTAAAACTAATATGTTTTAGTATTTCTTATTTTTGTTCCACTGTTAGCTTAGAAAATATGTGCTTTGCTATATACAGATATCAACAGAAAATCAACATTTTGTCTTTATGAGAGTTGTATGTTTTTAATATTTATTCTAAAACCAAAAAAAAAAAGGTTGCCTCTTTAAAATAGCAAAAAATCAACAATTTCTGATATTTAACAAAAATACAAAGTTGTCTTTTATTAAAAGGTCATGTGGCATTTGCGGCTCCAATCGACTGAGCTACACTCACGGCAAAATGTCTCTTTGAATTTTAAAGGTTGCAGACCATTGGTCTATATGAACAACCAGCGGCTCATTTCATGACAGATTCCTTCAAGTTTTCAAAAGGTACGTTTAAAAAAATCAGCTTAGAGCCGATGCCAAAGGCATTTTGGTAACTCTGGAGGAGCTGCAGAGATCCACAGTTCATGTGTGATAGAACAGTAATAAACAGCATAGTATAAACATTTAGCTCTTGTGGAAGAACTGCAAGAATGAAGCTATAATAGATAACATTTGCAGTTTGCCACAAGCCTTGCAGGAAAAAAAAGCAAACATGTGGAACAAGGTGGTCTTGTCAGATAAGTGGTTTACCTTTCAGTACAAAGCAACGATGAAATGGATCAAATCACATCACAGTCATGAGTTAGAATGTCTTAGTCAAAGTCCATATTAATCTAACTGAGAATCTATGAACATACTTGTACCTTGCTCTGTATCAACCCTCAGTTTTACCCACGTTAGCTGAAAAAATAAAAAGGTAAAAAAGAAATGTTTGCAGTTAACATTGCACACAGTTGCAAATCTCAGGCCTTAGTTTAGATGTGTCTCTATAAATACATCAAAGTGCAAAGTACAGGAAGCCCTTTCGCAGCATTCGTTTTTCTTTTTAAATAAAAAAAGCATGAGATGCAACAGAACATAAACCAGATCAAAAAAACTGACATTTCATTGAAACTTTTTTCTTGTCCTGAAATTACTAATCACTTCTTTTTTACTGAAACTGCACATGGTTTAACATTTTCTGCAGATTATACTGTGTTTCAAAAGGAAACCAGGCCATAAAGAGCTTTGTCTTTGAAGCAAAGTGTGAAAACCTGTCTCTGATCTCTTCCAAACCTGAGCAATCTGATAGTGATGTATAACGGCTCCTATCTTGAGAAACTGTCTCTGTCTGAGTTGAAGTGCAGAAGTTGAACTTGATGTGAGGAACAAGCCCAATCCACAACAGATATGTCTTATCTACCAACAGAGAGTACTTCCTGAATCATGCAGGGTTTTTCTGTTTAAATATAACCTTAACCAAAAAAGGTAACCTCAATGGTTGACCTCAACACAACAACAACTATACAAACAGAAAACATGTGGATTTAAGGGGGCCGCTTGAAAAGCTATCATACCACTGAAATGTTTCTGAAATCTCAGAGCAGAGGAATCACTTCCCCGGCGAACAGAGTTTATGCTTAGCAGCTTTCCCTTCCAAGCTTACTCCTGTCTGTGTCCATTCTGTCCAAAGCTACACCCACGTGACCCCGGTAAAAACATCCATTGTCATCTTTTCCTCTCATCTGCATAGCAGCGACTCAGGGAGGCAGAGCTCTCATTCCATCTGTGTGCTTCCAGCGGAGGGATGGTTTGGCAAATTCGTCTTTGGGCCTCATCACTCATTGGCTTTCTTTCTTAAGATCAAATGTTGTTCCTCACAATGCATTTTGTTGTGTTGCGGTAAAAGTGTCTATAATAAAGCCTTATGGTATCTGAATACCTGAGATGTAAAAACTGTTGAAAACAAACTGGTTTGTTTCCTGCTTGATCCTGTTTGTTTGTGTAGATGTGAACAGAACAAAGCAATTACAGCAAAACAACAATACTGTGAGGGTTTTAGGATGTAGCCTCGGTATGAGAACTCTGGGTTGGTTTGTTTATCAATGGGATTTTCCCTCGATTCAACACTGGTATGAAGTGCTGCAAGGTACAACTTCTAGTAGCAAAGTACAAGTTTCATTATTGGCATCTTATTTTCTTAGCAACCTTTAAGAAATCCTCCATTATTCATCGGGTATATGTTGCAGAACATTTTGCATTTAATGGTGCAGAAACACAAAATGTTTTAACATGTGGTTTTTCCACTCCTGGCACACCTGACCAATAAACAGACTGAATGTTCTTTTTTCGACATTTCGATCAAAATTAGCCAAAGGTTCCTTAAAGAAAATTTGAATGAAAGTAAACCAGGTGAAACTAAAACTTTTCCACTTCTGACAGACCAAATTTTTTTTGGATCTTGAATGCAAAAATATGTATATATATATATATATATATATATATATATATATATATATATATATATATAATAAGTTGATGGATATTTAAAAAATTGATTAATCAGGATTAATCAAATACATTGTTTCAGCCATAAAGCAGACACAGGCTTCTCTTAACCAAACTTGTCATGAAAGCTTGTCTGGAAAAGAAACAAGCAAATTCTTCAGACTCTGCCCTTTGCTCTAAAGACATAAGAGGGAAAACAAAAATGGGAATTCAAAAAAGAACATGATGCACATGACAGTCTGGACGACACACACCTAACGAGCAGAACGGATAACCCAGCGGCAGTCACATGGAAAGATGACCTCGGGCTGGAGGGTCAAATAGATCTGAGAAATAAATGTTTGTGCTGGTGTGAAATCAGCTGAAGAGAAACAAATCTGCCAACTATTTGCCTTCCCTAGTCCGCTATTGGTAAATAGATCCCACCTATGTGTTATTGAGTATAAATCTAATCTCGCTCAGTAAAAGTTTCGGTAATTTTACAGAACATTAAAGAGCAAATAGCAGCACAAAAACCACAGAACTCAGGAGACAGGCTAGCTCAGACAATAAGCTTAAAGCGTTTCTAAGATAAGCGTTTTAGTCTGACACCTCGAAAAGAAAAATTTTTTGAAAACTACACATTTCCCAAAAGGTAGATCTTTTATCTACTTTGGCAGGTTGAGCGAATCAAAGAAGTGGCTGCAGATTTACCTATCAGCGCTGCACTACACATAATACAACAAAATACATCCATTGTTAAGAAAGTCATGCAAAATCGAGTTTCTAGTATGCCACAAGCCATGGAGAGGAAGGAGGTGCTCTGCTTAAAGTGAATTAAAACATTGTGTATGGCGTTTGCACCACTCAGCAATCATATGCTCCATCTGACAGAGCTTGAGCTGTTTTGCAAAAAAGCAGTAAAAACGTTGCAGGTGTAAATGCAGCATAGAGCTTTACCCAAATTGACTCTGGTAGGCTGAATAGGAACATAAAGCACACTTTTCAGACGTTCAGTTGTTTAAAAAGAAATGAATCTGAAAACAAGGAGTTCTCTTCAATTTTGAGTCTTGACATAAGAAAATATGATGAATCTAAAGAGGCAGACATGCTTTTAAAGCCAACAATATCTATGCAAAACAGTAAAAAAATTTAAAAAGTAAAATGCATTTTAACTTGTGTTATTTAAAAATGATGATAAGGCCAGTGACATTGAGACTTTTCCATTTGAAATGATCTGATTATTCATAATTGATTGTTGCTGGAATTATTAAACCTACACTTACCTAAACCTACATTAAAGACCCACTCATAAGGCAAACACCTGCATTAA